CTTGAGGCTCCTGTCTCAAAAAAAAAAAAAAGTATCAAACTTAAATGTCACAGGGTGGTGGCCATAGCTCAGTGGGTAGGGTGCTGGCCACATACACTGGGGCTGGCAGGTTTGAACCCAGCCTGGCCCTGATAAACAACAATGACAACAATAACAAAAGAATAGCTGGGCCCTGTGGTGGACACTTGTAGTCCCAGCTACTTGGGAGGCTGAGGCAAAAGAATTGCTTAAGCCCAAGAGTTTGAGGTTGCTGTGAGCTGTGACACCATAGCACTCTATTCAGGGCGACAGCTTGAGACTTTGTCTCAAAAAAAAAAAAAAGTCAAATGTCAGCAGAGATACCAACTGTCTAAATATTTAAGGAAATTGGCTATGTCTTAACAGGTTATAAATACTAACATGTAAAAATTATTAGTTTTAGTACATACAGTATAACGAATCTAACAACAGTAACAAAAAAAAAAAAAAAACATAAAAGAAGCCAGGCACGGTGGCACATGCCTGTAATCCTAGCCCTCTAGGAGGACAAGATAGAAGGATTACTTGAGACCCCCTACCTACAAAAAATAGAAAAATTAATTAGGTGTGGTGGCATGTGCCTGTAGTCCCACGTATTCAGAAAGATCACTTAAGCCCACAAATTTGAAGTTGCAGTGAGCTCTTATAACACCGACACACTCTAGCTGGGTTGATGGAGCCATATCCTGTCTCAAAAACAAAAAACTAATGGGAGCCTACAATAAAACATGTAGTAGTGACTGCTGTTGGGTACTTGGAGTATAATTTCTCTTTTTTTTCTAATCTTCTGTGCTTTCTACATTTCCCCAAATAAACATATTGTCACACGTAACTTCATAATAACCCAGATCAACCAGATTCTTAATAAATAAAAATTCAGTCACATCAAAAATAAATGGGTTGACATGGTGGCTCATGGCTGTAAATCAATCCTAGTACTTTAGTAGGTCATGGGAGAAGGATCACCTGAGGCCAGCAGTTCAATAAGATCTCATCTCTTAAAAGAAAAAGAAAATGACAGGCAAGGTAGCACTACTCCATGTCCCTAAAAGAATACACGAGTCAACAAATCCATTTTTATATATCCCAAGTTGATCACCATGTTTATCTTTTGGAACATCTAGAAAGGCTTTCTCCTGGAACTCAATTTGTTTGTGAACAGCTTGACCCTTTTCCCATGAGAATGTATTTATTTATTTATAGAAAAGCATAACCTTTGAAAATTCGGGGAGGTCACTATTATGGAGGCCTAACATGTAAAAATATAATTGGCTAGGAGAAAATCCCAGTATAGATGCCAAGCATTCATACTATAAATTCACATAAGCAACACTATTATTAGAAAAAAAGAAGGGCTGTGTTCATCAAAATAACTCTAATGTTTATAAAACACATAAACATATGTTTTTTACATAAATTATACTCCAAAAACATAAAATATAATTTTTAACATAAATTACAGTCTATTTGTTTTATGAAATATGATATAGCAGATAAATATAAATAAACTCAAAGCTACCTGTGTGATACAGAGAATCTTTCAAACTTAATATTTAATATAAAAGTTAAGGCAGAGAAGTACAGTGATATTTTAAATCACGAATAACAATGCTATTTATGGATACTTATAAATCCATAATGTTCATGGACACTTATAAATAAATTTTGGTATATTCATCTACAGAAAACTTAGAATGAAAGATTTAACTACAAAACATGGATGACTACCACAAATAATGTCGAGAGAAGCTAGATACAAGTAACATGCATTAGGGCTAGATGTGGTGGCTCACGCCTGTAATTCTAACACAGGCATGAGCCACTCAGGTGGATCTCTTGAAGTTTGAGACCAGCCTGAACAAGAGCAAGACCCTGTTTCTACATACCAAAAAAATAGCTGGGTGTTGTGTTGGGGTCTGTAGTCCTAGCTGCTCAGGAGGCTGAGGCAAGAGGATTGCTTGAGCCTAGGAGTTTGAGATTGCTGAGAGCTATGATGCTACAGCACTCTAGCCTAAGACAACAGAGTGAAACTCTTGTCTCAAAAAAAAAAAATGTATTTGATCCTTCCATTTACATAAGGGACAAAATCAGGCAACTAATCAACTGTTAACTTCATAATACTTGACATATTCTTAAAAAGCAGATGTATTACTTATTAGCATACATCAAATGGTGTACTTGAGATTTGTGCATATAGTTGTATACACATTTTACCCTCTCCAAAACAACCATAAACAAATACTGACATTCATTAATGACATACACACTGAAGGAAAAAACAAGTACCAACTTCTATAAAATACAAGATATACTAAATTAGATTATGGGGACATAATGAGCAAAATTCAGACTATAGGAAACACTATAGGACAAAACCAGTTACTTAATCAATGATCTGTAAAGACTTATAAAGAGGATGAGGGAAAGTAAAAGGAGGAGAGAAAAAGAGTTAGGGGGCATGGAAAGAGACCTACAGATTAAAATAGGCCTGTAGTGGTTTGTTTGTGTATGAGTTTTCCCCAAATTCATTATGTTGGAACCTAAGACCCAAAGTGATAGTATGAAGAGGTGAGACCTTCATGGGGTGACTGAGTTACTTTATTCTACTAGTGGGATCAGTATCTTTGTAAAAGAGCTCAAGGGAACTAGCTAAGCACATTTTGTTTTTTCACCCTTCTTCCTTCTGCCATGTGTGAACACAATGAGAAGGTGCCACTGGAAGCAGAAAGCAGCTCTCATGAGACACTGAATCTGCCAGTACCTTGAATTTGAACTTTCTAGCTTCCAGAACTGTGAGACATAACTTTTTCTTGTTTATAAATTACTCAGTCTCGGGGATTTTGTTATAGTAGCAAAAATGGTCTAAGACAAGACCTAAAAGACAACTGCCACTATGTGTGAGACCTGGGTAGATTGTGATTCAAAACACTAAATAATCCCAGGAGAAATAATGAAACAATTAGAAAGGTAAACACTGATAACATTTAGGAATTAAATAATCAGAGAATATTAAGGATATTGAAGGTGAGTAAAGATGACTTTTTTAGGAGTGATAATAAATAAATAAATGGTAATATTTAAAAAAGAGATTCCTTACCAAAGATCTATATTGGATTATTTCTTGACAAATTAACATCTGAAATTTTCTTCAAAGAATGGAAAGAACAGTGCAGTTTGCGTGAATAGGGCAAAATGGGCTAGTCAGTGGTTGCTGGATACCTCACAAGCCCACAGGAGTTAATTACACTATCTTGTCTACTTTTGCTTGCACTTGAAATTCTTATTAAACTGTTTTTAAAAAGTAAGTAAATAAGGTAATACAAGGTTAGACAATTAAATTTGCCAACTCACCCTAGAAAAAAAGTGCTCGATACTCCACTGCTGAATATCACTATGGTTACCTTCAAAATACTACACTCGGCCATCTGGTAATCATAGTCATAATCAGCAATGAGGGTTTATAGCACTTTTTCTAGGATGAGTTCCTGAACTTAACTTTTTGACTGAGAACAATATCTATAGGCATTCCATACAAGTTGTTCACTTGGTACAAATGGCATCATTAGCTTCTGAGTGCTCCACGGTCAAAAGGTTAACTGTCAGACCCCATACAATGATAGCTTTGATAGCCATTTCATAAAGAGTTCCAAAATTGCTTGGAAAAATAGACAAGACGCGGGCATTGTCTCATAGCTTTGTAAGGGGACTGCTCCTTCCTAAGGGGAGTGCTTCAAAGGTGACCCCAGTGATATTTAGCAATGAGGTATGTAGCACTTTTTCTAGGATGAGTTTAAGAACTTAACTGTCTGATCTTGTATGCTAAGATTTTACAAAGGCTGGTACTGGTACCCACATGTTCATTATTTCCTATATTTTTACACATTAAAATATTTTATTAAGAATATACACACACACTGGGGCTGGTGGGTTTGAACCCAGCCCAGGTCTACTAAACAACAATGACAATTACAACAAAAATATAGCTGGGTATTATTGTGGTGAGCACCTGTAGTCCCAGCTACTTGAGTGGCTGAGGCAAGAGAATTGCTTAAGCCCAAGAGTTGGAGGTTGCTGTGAGCTGTGATGCCACAGCACTGTACTGAAGGCAACATAGTGAGACTCTGTCTCAAAAGAAAAAAAAAACATACATATAAATGAAGAATCACAGACGGATATTTAGAAGGCAACAGGAATCATCATACCCATCTCACAAGGATTTGCAAAGATCAAATATGACATGAGAAAGATTAAAAAGTGCTTTTGAAAATATAAGTTTTACTAACAAAATTTTCAAACATGTGTCATGAAACAAGAATTCCAAACAAGCCAACATACATTAAAAAAATTAGATAAATTTGAATATGTATCTGTTTTAGCAAATTTCAGACTATAGGAAATACTGTAAAACAAAACCAGTTACAAAAACAGTCATTTTATGGGTTAAAATGAAAAATGAAAATATCTCCTGACTATACACACAAGAATATAAAGTTCATGTTTCAGAAGACTCACTACTGCTTATTATCTGTCTAGATAAAGAAAAGCAGAATACTTATAAAAACCAGACATATCAAAATACTTCTATCATAGCAACAATGGCAAGTAATTCTATTTCACCAGAGAAAAAGATCATGTATCATTCATTACCCAGACTTAAAATTTTCTTCCATATATTTTTAAAAAATGATGTTATGAGGTCTCATATAAGGCAAAAAATCACCCAAACCAGTAACTGTGAAGAAATGATGAGAAGGAAGTATGTTGGAGATGGGCTTAAGCAAAGAAAGGGGCACAAAAATATGGTTAAAACAAGCAAACCTACCCAATTAAAACACAAACACATCATAAATCCTACATGGAAAAAGAATCCTTCATTTTGAAGCTATTAATAGTACCTGTCAAGGTACTGAGGCTTTTACACATCAGACTAATAGATGACCCAGGTCAACATTGCACGTTGGGATTATTTGGGAATATTTACTGAAATGACTATCATTTCATTTCCACATAACTCAATGCTTAAAAAAGTCTCAGCATTTCACATACCTTATAATTCTGGTGTGATTCGAAGTTAGAAAGTGGAGTGTTGCATGCAGTGGAGAAGGGCATGACTTTCACGCCTCTATAAATAAGTCCTTTATCATAGAGCTGTTTGAAGACCCACCTAACGAGAGAAGGGGTTTTACAATTACACAACCAAATTTCTATTTTCCCACATGCAAACTTTCATGCCATTATTGTTTTATTTTTTGAGGAAGAGTCTCACTCTGTCACCCTGAGTAGGGGGGCTGTGGCATCATAGCTCACAGCAACCTCAAACTCCTGGGCTCAAGCAATCCTCTTGACTCAGCCTCCTGAGTAGCTGGGACTACATGCATGCACAATGCCCGGATTTAAGCCAAGCATGAAGGACAGACTGTGACTAATAAAAATGTGGCTAGGTACACGAGAAGACAGTAAGAGCCACAAGTACAGGTACCAATAATAAAATGCAAAGAAATTGTACCTTATAAAATAGCTTTGTAATTCACTTGTACTTTTACATAATTTAATAAAAGGAATTCCTCAAGGCTGAGTTATATATCTGGGATACTTTGCAACCATATTGATGATACCTATTTGGCAAGTATTGATTTTCATACTATTGTAGGAGGTCTAACTTAAACCACGTGTCTAGACTGGCATTGTTATCATTACATTATGATAGTAAAAATAATTAAAATTTCATTTTTTTTTTTTTTTTTTTGGCAGTTTTTTGGCCAGGGCTGGGTTTGAAACCACCACCTCTGGTATATGGGGCCAGAGCCCTACTCCTTTGAACCACAGGCATCGGCCTAAAATTTCATATTTTACTGTTATGGAACAGAGACTTCACTATACAATTTCAGCATTAAAGTCAAGTACACAATCTCTTGGACTTACTAAAAAAAAAAAAAAAGCCCCCCACTTCTGTAGACTAATTTGACAAAAGACCTCAACTGACATTAGGCTATTTCTGTTCTTTATTTTATGTGTAAAATTTTTATATATTTATATATTAAAAAAATTTTTTTTAAGGTGGCACCTGCAGCTTAGGTGGTTTGGGTGCCAGCTACGTACACCAAAGCTGGAGGGTTTGACCCAGCCTGGGACAGGTTAAACAATGGGGAAAAAAAAATTGTTTTTTTTTAGAGAGAGGGTCTCATTCTCTCACCCAGGCTGGAATACATAGACATAATCATAGCTCATTGCAGCCTCAAACTTCTAGGCTCTATGATCCTCTTGCCTTAGTCTTTGAGTAGCTAGGATATATAATCACACACCACCATATCTGGCTAGGTTTTTATTTTCTGTAGAGATGGTGGGATGGAGGGGTCTTGCTATGCTGTCCAGACTGGATACTATTTATTTATTATATCTAATGCTGCAAAAATTCCAATGTATTTGATTATAGGTTACTGTTGAACTAGCTAATACCATACATGTACAGAAATTATAGAATTATAATTCTATCTTATTATATTTCTCAAATCCATAGTATTCTAAATTCAAAAACCTAAGTGTCCTGAAACATTTCAGATAATTATAAACCTTAAAACAAGCTAACTCATGCCAGTGCATTTTTCCATTGATTAATACAACAGAGTATCATTGTATTTATAATTTTTAAAAAACATACCAGACAGACTCCATGAATTCTGGATACAAAGTTTTGTAGTCATTGTCAAAATCAATCCATCGCCCAAGTCTGGTAACAGTAGACTTTAAAATACATACATTAGAATAGTATTAGACATTGGTGTTTGTTACCGTACATCAGTGTGTGTTTACCTCCATTGTCTTTTGGGAAAACAGAACATTCAGCAGTTCAAATAAATTTATACTGCAAACAACATACTACCTAAGGTTAAGAACCAGTTTTCTTGGCATCCATCTTATATGCAGATAATGTTATTTCCATGTATAAATATTTAACTCTTAAAGTCTATCAAAACTAGCATTTAGCAAACAACAGAAGCATAACTGGTGTCAGCAAAAATCAACAGATGTTAAAATGGATGAATTAAAGTATAATAGGAAAAGGAACATTTGTAAAGAATCTCCCCACAAGATACTTACTAGTTAAAAAGGAAAACTTTCCAAAAGACAAATCTGACAGATAACATCTTAATGAAGCAAAGTTATCATCATCATGAGTCATAGCAACAACATATGCCCACTGACATGATGTACAGAGAAGTGCATGATAGCACTTCTGTGGCATTCTTACCAAAAATGCATAATCAAAACTGAATTATGAGGAAATACCAGAATTGAGAGACATTCTATAAAATAAGCAGTCTGCACTCTGCAAAAAGTGACAAGGACATGAAAGACAAAGACCAAATGAAAATTCCATATTGAAGGGGACCAAAGCCTGACAAAACCAAAAGCAATGTATAATCCTGGATTGAATCTTGGATTAGAAATAAAAATTAGTAGGGCAACAGGTAAAATCTGAATAAGATCTATAGTATTTTGTCAATGTTAGTTTCTTGATTTTAAAAATCATACTATAGTTATTGAAGATGTTAGCAATTGGGAAAGGTAGATAAAGGGCAGAAAAATACTCTTTGTATTATTTCTTGCAATTTTTTGATAAGCTTGAAATTAATTTGAAATAAAAAGTTACAATTTTTTTAAAATAATAGAGATTAAAAAAAAAAAAAAGATCTATATCCATGTTATACTCACTGAGGTTTCTCCCTACTAGTAACCAGGAAATAAAGTTAGGCTAGGAGAAAACTGAAGACCTTTGACTTTTATGTTTATAAAATTAGACTTTATTCACCAATGAAGAGAAGCTACTCAAGGTTTGAGGAAGGGCACAGTGAGTAGTCTTGTGGGGGAGAAAACCTGGAAGGAAGTCTGAGTGGAAAGAACATGTAGAAGAGAATGAGTAAGAAATTGTTATAGAAATGAAGATGATGGTGTTTTAGAAGCTTGATAAAAAGGCCAGGTATGGTGGCTCACACCAGTAATCCTAGCACTCTGGGAGGCTGAGGTGGTGGATTGCCTGAGTTCAGTTCTGAGACCAGCATGAGCTAGAGCAAGACCCCCATCTCTAAAACTAGCTGAGCCCTGGGGCGGATGCTTGCAGTCGCTTGGTAAAGATTGTAAGAATGAATGCTTAGTACCTAAGAAGAAAGACTTGTTGGATTTGGTGCCTGATTTTATCATAGGGATTAAGGTTTGAACTCTGAATGACACCACTAGCAGAATAGGGAGTTATGAAGAACAGTAAGTTGAGAGATCAAAGATAAGATGGGAGAATGTGAAGGGAAAAAAGCCAAACGTGTTAAAATCATATAGATTTACGAATTTAATCTTAGAAGCAGGGAAGAAAGGAAGGACTTTATTCCTAAATCCATAAGAATAAGAGAGGACAGAGTTTTACCAGCTGTGGGAGCTCAATTACTAAGTGGGCAACAAAGGAGTCAAATTAATATAATAAGAACAGGTCCAAACTTGAATTTTTAAAGCATTTTTGTAATTGTACTGAAAAATTCAAGTAAAAGCTTTTTACTGGAACAGCATGATTTGTCATATTCTGTGGGTAGGTAGGAGTTTAAATATGAAAGACCAATCAAACATACATAAATATGAATGAGACGGTTCATTTTAAGCTAACAGTTTAAGAAATGGAATTGGAGGTGGAAGCTAAATACCCATTCTTAAAGATACACAATGTAAAGAGGATATTCAACTTCTCTTGTGTCACAACACGGACAGCTATGCTTTGGGGACCACCTCATAAAAAGCAGAAGTTACCATAAACCATTTCAACTGAGAGTTAAAACTAAACTTTCTGTTCACTCTATTGAAAACAACCCAACCTACCTCCCACTCAGCCGAATATCTCATCACGATTGCTCGGCACTGATTATTATACTCTGCAATCCCCATTTTGGCCACATCCTCTGGTCCTCTGATTCCCAGTGTCTTATCAATTTCATATTCCTGAAAATTTGTGATAAGATTATCAATAACTCTGCCCTAGGAAACAACTGCAACTATGTAAATCTAGAAAATTAAACAGCTTTAAAAAGATAAGTTCTCAGAAAATCTACAGAGAAAATGAACTCTAAATTGTATTACAGAAATGAAAAAAAAAAAGTCTGACATAGACTTTTGACAGTCAAAATTCATCCAACATATTATAAGATAAAATGTTTTATATCTATCATGAGGAAATCTAGTGCTTCTAAAAAATCAGAACATTATAAAGCTAGAGACTCAAACGTACCACAGGTAAGCCATGACAATCCCATCCAAATCTTCTGTCAACATGAAACCCACTCTGGTGAGCATATCTTGTAACTATATCTTTAATTGTCCCTGCAAGGATATGTCCATAATGAGGGAGTCCAGTTGCAAAAGGAGGACCATCATAGAAAGTAAACCTAATGGAGGTTTAAATGTATAAAAATACATTAATTCATTTTAAAATAAACAATAAAAACTCATGACAACATTATTCTATTGATAGCTACTATCATAGTCCTTAGAAAGAAGAAAAGCAGAAAGTATCAAGAAATTGATAGACATAATTGAGTATTTACTGGAGGTCCTGCCTTCAGAAGGATCCTGCCTATAGTTATGGCAGAGGTGAAGATATCACCACTCAACCACTCATTCTTCATTTATTAGTTCTGTTATATGAGGGAAGTTATTTATTCTGATCTTGAGTTACCTCATTAGCAAAATGGAGCAATAAACTACTATTTCATAAAGGTTTTGAGCAGAGAAGATTTACAATGAAAACAGTGATTAGGCTAGGTGTGGTGGCTCATGCCTATAATCCTAGCACTCAGGAGGTCAAGGTGGGTAGACTACTTGAGCTCAGGAGTTCTAGACCAGCCTGAACAAGAGCAAAATGGCCAGTTGTCATGGCGGGTGCCTGTAGTCTCAGCTACCTGGGAGGCTGAGACAAGAGGTTCTCCTAAGTCTAAGAGTTTAAGGTTGCCATGATCTAAGATTTCACCTCACTCTACCCAGGGTGAAAAAGTGAGACTCTATCTCAACAACAATAAAACCCAATAAAAACAGAAACAAAAAACCCAGTGATAAAAGGACTAGTTTTTTAGGTGAATAAGAAGTAGTGAAGGTAGTACCATAGTAGTTTTCTACAGGCTTCTACTTAGGTATAAGTGCCTAAATGAGGATGATGATGAAGAGATAGGTTGGAAAAACAGAGTACTATATATATATACTACTCAGAGGAGCCCTTAAAGAAACTAAATTTACCCTAATAGTAAAGAATTCATTTATTCAATGTATATCTACTACTGACTACCCACTAGATAGAGAGCTGGGAGACTCTGGGAATATAAAGATGAATAATTCCGTTATTGCTTTAATGGAATTCTGTCTAAGAAATGACTACTCTTAAGGACTCTAACTTTATCAAGGAAATTTACATACTTTGGCCTATGTTTTGATTGCTTTAAGCATTCTTGAAAACAATTAAATTCAGACCAAAACCGCAAGATTTTCTCTTCTTCAGCAGGAAAATTGATGTTTTCTGGAACTTGTTGAACCATTTTTTTGCTGCAAAAGAAATTAATTTTTGTCAAAAGAGAAATCTAGGAACAGAGTACTATATTATTAAAACGGGTTTACGTATCACTATCTATGATACTTTTCAAAAATGATAGCTTTACTGAAGCAAGATTCACATATCATAAAGTACAAAGTGTACAATTCAGTGAATTTCAGTATATTTACAAGGTATAGCTACTGTCATCACTAACTAATCTCAGCATTTTTTCACTTCCCTACAAACCCCCATAACCACGAGCAGTCATTCCCCATTTTCTCCTCTTCCAGCCCCTGGCAACCATTAATCTTATGGCCCTAACAATTCGCCTATTCTGGACATTTCATAGAAATGAAAAAAATGTATATGCGTCATCTACATGTGATCCATTTTGTCTGTTTTCTTTCCATAGCATCATGTTTTTCAAGGTTTGTCTGTGTTGTAAATGTGTCCATACCTCATTACTTTTTTAGGACTATGCTATGTTTTGTTTATCCATTCATCAGTTTATGGACACTTGGACTGTTTCTACTTTTGGCTATTGTAAATAATGCTGCTATGAACATTCATGAACAAGTTTTTGTGTGAACCTATGTCTTCATTCTATTGCTGGGAGTAGAATTTCTGTGTCATATTGTAACTCAGCATTTAACTTCCTGAGAAAGTGCCTAAATGTTTTCTGAAGTGAATGTAACATTTTATTACACATTCCCCTAGCAGTTGAGTGAGGATTCCGACTTCTCCAAATCCTCCCCAACACTCCTTATTGCCCACTTTTGGACTACAGACATTCTAGAGGATATGAAGCAGTATCTTAATTTGGTTTTGATTTACACTTCCCTAATGATCAGTGAACTTCAGCATATTTACATGTGCTTATTGGTCATCTGTGTATCTTCTTTGGACAAATGTTTACTTGTCCTTTGCCCATTTTTGAATTGTGCTGTCTTTCATGATTGAGTTTTAAGAGTCATTTATTTATCCTGAATACAAACGTCTTATCAGATATGTTTATAAAAAGCTTCTCCTGTTTGGTGCGGTGGCTCACGTCTGCAGCACTGTGGGAGGCTAAGGAGAGAGAATTGCTTAAGCTCAGAAGTTGGAGGCTCACCTGAGCCAGAGTGAGACCCCGACTCATGAAAAACATGGAAAAACACAGTTGGGCACCCTGGGGAGCACCTGTAATCTCAGCAGTCCGGAGGCTGACGCAGCAGGATGCCCACAAGGTGCAGTCTGAGGTTGCAGTGAGCAACCAAGCCACTGCACTCTGCTCAGGGGCAGAGGGTGGGACTCTGTCTCAACCAAAATAAATAAATAAGTAAATAAAAGAAATAAAAAATAAGCAACGAAATAAAATAAAAAATACCAAAAAAAAAAAAAGCTTCTCCTGATACATAGGTTGTCCTTTATTTTCTTGATAGCACTCTCTAAAACACAATTTTTTTTTATTTTAATGGTGATCAATTTATGTATTTTTTATTTTGCTGCTTGAGCTTTTGGCATCATATCTAATGAACCATTACCTATACAAGGTTGCAGATTTTTAGCTTATATTTAGGTCACCAATCATTTTGTGTTGTTTTTGTATATGTGTGTGAGAGAGGGGTACATAGTACTTCTTACATTATTGCAAAATTGTATCCAAATCACGTTCTGCACTATTAATATCTACTTACAGTATAATACTGTAGTAAGGTAGATAATATTTCTAAAATTAAACATAAAAATATTAGATGTTCTGATGGTGCAAAAATAATTAATAATCCAAAAATAATTATCAAAGTAGCTAAGAATTTCTTACATATACTCACATGATAGAAAATAACTATTCTTGTTATAACCTCACCTTTTCTTTCAGGAAAGTTAAACCTAAAAAGATAAGAATCTCACATTCCAATATAACTTATACCCATTCTTCCATTTCACCCCATTTATTGTTTATTTATGATTTTTGTAAAGATCAAGCCCTATACCTCCTGGTAAGAGGAGTCTTACAAGTGTCTTCTAAAATGTTAAAAGTTTTGCTAATACACTCAAGCAGAGAAACTTAATCAATCTGACTTAACTATCTAGTGAACAGCCTTTAGCCCCTTCCTTCTCAAAGCCTATTTATTTTTATTTACAATTCTAATAAAGTTTAGTGACCAGATTTCCAAGCCAACAGCAGATTAGGAGGGGATGACAAGATTGCTAATAACGAGAACAGAGAAAACAAAATCTTAAGTGCTTAAGAACCTTAACAGTCAGAAGAGACTGAGTAGAAATATACCTACAAACCTTAACCAATGTTAAAAGTACTGAAAGCATTGTAGCCTAAGTAGAGCAAGCCATTCAAATCATCAAAGAAAAAAGTCTGTGGCAACTAGTATCTTTTATACTCGTTAACTTCTCAGATGCAAGAATGCCTTTGAGTTTTGGGGTTTTTTTTTTGAGATCGAGTCGCATTTTGTTGCCCTCGATAGAGTGCCATGGCATGACAGCTCACAGCAACCTCAAACTCTTGGGGTTACACGCTTCTCTTGCCTCAGCCTCCCAAGTAGCTGAGAATATAGGTGCCTGCCACTCCTGGCAGCTATTTTTTTGTTGTAATTGTCATTGCAACATGGCAGGCTAATTAAAAACATTTTTTTTTTTGAGACAGGGTCTTACTATGTTGCCCAGGCTGGTCTCAAACTCCTGGCCTTTTTTTTTTTTTTTTCTTAGAGATGAAGTCTTGCTCTGGCTCAGGCTGGTCTGGAACTTCTGAGCTCAGGGCAATCCACCCACCTTGGCCTCCCAGAGTGCTAGGATTTACAGGCATGAGCCACCTTGGCCGGCCCACATATGAGTTTTTTTTTTTTTTTTTTTAAAGGGGTGGAGATGCCTCACTCTGTCATCCAGGCTGCAGTGTAGTGACACAATACCTTATCAAAGGCCAAATGAAACTTCTGAGATTGTATTGTAAGACTGATAAGTTATTGGACTAAGAGGGTCTGGCCACCTGTCACTGTTAGCCAATATGCAGAGAAGGGAACAGGTCCACCAAACTTCATTTGTTGGAAGGCTAGTGATTCTGGAGAACAGTGAGACTAGGCCTTCCAAGACTTCCATTTCCAAAATCACAGTTTTATACATAAAAGTTCAAAGCAAGGGCCACATTAACTCTTATTTTAAATAATAATCAGTACAATTCAGTGGCAATCTATTACAACATTTCTAATTGAAAAGTTAATTTCTTTTTCTTTTTTTTTTTTTTTTGAGACAGAGCCTCAAGCTGTCCCCCTTGGTAGAGTGCTGTGGCTTCACAGCTCACAGCAACCTCCAACTCCTGGGCTCAAGCGAGTCTCCTGCCTCAGCCTCCCAAGTAGCTGGGACCACAGG